GCGAAGAATTCATCTCGGTTTTTGACGTGATTTAACTGCAAGGTTACCTTATGACACTGGAAGAGAATTATCTTCGACATGTCTCGAAATATCGCTTTAACTCATTCACCTGTGTTAGCTTTGCGAGACATTCTTTATGCTTCGCTTCAGTTTCCAATATCCCTTTGACATCCTGTTTGACCCGTAAAGACCCTCGTTAAAAATGGTCTTCAGCAAAAGGCAACAAAAGGGATCGGGTGGTCAGACGTGGTTGGTCATCGCTGGATTGTCTGTTCCAGACTTGATTATTTTCGGACCACCGCCATATAGCTGGAATATTGCTGACTGTGGCGTAAAACAACAAACCAAGCAACCAACCCGTTCGTTGAGGGTTATTAATGGTGTGGGTATGTGTCTCCCATCACTGACCAATGACATTGGTGACTATACGGGGAAATCTTAACGGCTACGCTATATCACGGACATTCTTGATCAGTTTGTTGTGCCTCATTTTGTTAACAAACCATTGGCTACCCGCCGCATAAGCAGTGAACGGCAACGCTAGGCCACATTGCTCCCATGCTGTTGGTGAGTTCTTAACGTATTACATGAGGAGTGGCGGCAATTGTCTCGAAACGTGTGCGCAGACTCACTGGTACCGTATAGAAAAGTGTGTGTGTGTGTGTGTGTGTGTGTGTGTGTGTGTGTGTGTGTGTGTGTGTGTGTGTGTGTGTGTGTGTGTGTGTGTGTGTGTGTGTGTGTGTGTGTGTGTGTGTGTGTGTGTGTGTGTGTGTGTGTGTGTGTGTGTGTGTGTGTGTGCTCTGTCATCTTGGCACGGGGTGGATACACGAGATACTTATGTCGACCACCTCGGTAAATTTCAAGGGGCTTATATAGTATGACCAGAAATTATTGAGAATTTTAGGAATATGTTTAATTGGATTTCTAGTATAAACAACCTTGACCAGCAATCAAGTGCTTGGTTTCATTCAAGAGAAACAACTCCGTTAATCCTTTTTCATTGGTTATCCCCCTTTGTTTACTTGCTAGCAGACGACATTTTCAGTGATTCTCAGTATGGATGATTTAGAGAAGAGGAAGTTGATTTTAGAGTATTTTAACAAGGACATCAGATCAGCTAAAGTGATTTCAAGTAGAACAGGCATCCCTTTGTCCACTGTTTATCGTGTTTTGAAAAATATTGCCAATGGATATGGCATTGAGCACCAGGGAGGCGCAGGTAGGCCCAGAAAATTGACTGTCGGTGACAGGAGGCGGCTTGGTATTCTTGTTTCTAAAAACAAACAAAGGAGTTTAGAAAACTTAAGGCTGGACATGATTGATAGAGGAACTGTGGCTGTCTATAAGGAGACAATTAGAACTGAGCTGCATGCAGTGGGTTGGCAGAAAAGTCGAGGAATTCCATCACCGATCATGAAACCTGAACAAAAGGAGCGAAGGTTGAAGTGGTGCTTACAGCATAGAAATTTTAACTGGGACAATGTGATTTTCTCAGATGAAAGTTCTGTGTGGCTGTTTCCTAATACACTGAAATTCTGGACCAAACAAACTGAAAAACCTTTGTATCAGCGCCCAAAGTACAGTCCGAAATTTAACGTGTTGGGTAGCATATCTGTGTTAGGGGCAACGCCCCTCTGTGTATTTGAAGGGAATATGAACAGTGAGCGGTCCACAGATATCCTCGAGGGACATTTACTTCCATCTGCTCACGTGTTCTATGGAAATGTTCATCGTTCAAAGCATTCACAGGCCTGGTTTCGGAACCAAAATATGACATTATTAGATTGGCCAAGCTATAGCCCTGACCTAAATCCAATAGAAAATGTTTGGGAAAAGTGTCAATAAGAAAAATCTGACAAATATTGCTGGAATGAAAGAAGAGGTGGTCCGATATTGGGACAGCATGGACCACGACTTTCTAACTTCTTCGATCAGTAGTATGCCCCGCCGCATTAAAGCCTGCATTGCTGCCCATGGTGACTTGACAAAATACTTACTATTCACCTGTCTTTGCATCTGGAGTTATGTTCTGCTGATATTCACATTTAATACGTGAGTAATGAGTGAAAAAAAATATAAAAATTACAATCTTAATTACTCAATAATTTCTGGTTGTACTGTACAGACCGCCAAAGCTGGCACTATCTCATCATGTGTCATGCCAGGATAATACTTTGCCATAAAGTCAACAGTATTGGCATTTCACACGTCCAAAGCACAAAGATTAACACATTGCCTACAAAGTCTTGTAGTAAATTATTCAACCACTACTGCCATCACTGAGGGGGGTTGCGTTGTGTATAATTAAAACTGAGTGTACATGCATGGGATAAGTTGCTCTTCTGACGCAACATGTGATATATCACCACGAGAACAGGTATAAGAGAGTTAATTCAGCTGCAGTTAAAATTTCTGTACTTCCAACAGATGCTTGCAAACTGAAGTGGGAGAAGGTGGTACACACTGACGCACATGGTGCTGAAGTTTCTGGGAGCAAGACGCGCCTTCAGAAGCACGTTCTTAATGGAAGAAGAATTAAGTTTGTCCAAAAGACCATCCACTACCATTTGACTGAAGTAAACGATTGTGAAAAATGGCGCGCTGAGGTATGTTGTCAGACTCTTCAACATGTCAGTGTTGACAACGAGGACAGCTTTGATGCAGAAGGATCCTGGTGGTTCATTGTGGCATGCACTACGGGCCACATTCATATGAAAAGATACTCTATAGGTGGAAAGTACGTTTCACAAAGACACCTCAGAGCAAATATAACATGGTTTACATTGCAAAACAATGATAAAGGTTACCCTCTCCCTGTATTTGGAAACGGGTTTGGTTCCAAAGAAAATCTTCGTTCAGCAGTTTTGCAAGGAATGACTATAACAGTGATCTTGCGAAACCATCGTAGATACGCTGTCGACAACTGTGAAGTGTCAGGAAGGATCACGGATCTGTCAAAGATGATTAGTTGCCAGCTAATTTGGAATTTCAGTGCAACACGCAGAAAATGTCATCTCGTTTTCGAGAAGCTAGCATCTTTTCACTTCATGATGGTGACATCATTAGGTACGACTGATGGGATTAGATGGTTTGTAGAACATCATCGTCAGTTAGATCATCGTCCCGGCCGGGACAAAGTATTTGCATGGTTTGCAGATGATTGTTGGGCGCAGGTTCATGTCAGTGACGCTTATGGATCCAGAGGTGAGACGCTGAAGCAGTTAATGTTCCTTGTAGAACAAGGACACACGGTGAAGGTACATTTTTATAAAACTGTAATGGAGGTTGAAGGAATCCGAATGTCTAGGGATCATATCACGGTTTACCTGGTATCGTTGCTAGCAAGAGAAAATGTAAAATCATTTACAAAGAACTTGAGCTGGGTGTTTAGGATAGTAAGCACGTCAGGAACTGTAAAAACCTACCGTTTAGGATTCTCAAGAACCGTTTACCAGAGTGTTATAACAGAGAGGAAGTCTTTTACTTGGTTTGTTGACACAAAACGATGGTTCCTTTTACTGCACACCCTTAGAAATGGTAGCATTTCCCAGGGAGCCATATCAGCCCTTTCAAATGCCGTTTCGAATGGTGCAGACATTAGAATAGCTTTCAAATTTTCTCAGGACTCAGGATTTCGTGTTTTCAGAGCACATAACATCCACCTTGGACCAGAACATCACGTCACAGCACAAGTCGTGCGTGTCCTAAGAGATCATGAAACAGAAAATGGCGAATTTGTTTTTGATGATATACCATGCTGGTCCTTTAAATTGATATCAACCAAAGGTTTTGTAATTACCAGTGATTGGGATCTTAAGACAGGGAAACATCATGGGCAACAATCAGAAAAAGCTGAGATCAAGTGGTTGGCAAGTTTCTGATGACGATTTTCGTGATTAATCATCAACTGTAAAATGCATATCCATTATAAATTTTTATATTTGGATTGGGAGTGAGCACAGATGGCCTGTTTGCCTCATATTTTTTTTCTTTGATTTTTCGTGCAACTCATTTGTTATTTCAGATGCGCTTGTTAAGATTAAATAATTCTGTGTAAATCTGACAAAATGTGAATAATACGTGTGTTCAATCCAGTATGATGATTTTAATTGAATGTATCAACACATGGATACATGTATATGGTATAGCTTTCCATCCGTGAAGATCAGAGTTTCTGGTCTTCAACCCTTGCAGGTCGTTAAAGGCGTCAATCACAGGACTATGAGGCTCAGTCCAGCCTATTTGCAATGCAGCGTTAGTGAACAGATAGATACTGTATTTGCCTTGGCGTCACAAATGTCCAGACGTGTCCACCTCATATTATATGGACAGTAATTGCCAGGAAAGTGGGTTTTCATGACTAGCAGGGTGAGGTGAGGTGAAATTGGGTTTAACGTCGTGCTTGAGAATATTTCGCTCATATGACCACGTGCATGCGTGTGTTTGTGTATGTGCGGCTGCTTGTACTTGCCCAGACTTAAGCTGGTTTTATAGTGCTAGCCCACTGAGATACCATGCCGCAGTGAAGCATGAATACCCCACTCAGACACATTATATAGACTCCGAGCCGACCAGTCCTTGTTGTCCCCATTAATGCCGAGCGCCAAGTACCATATTTTAACGTCTTTTGGTATGACGCGGTCGGGGATCGAACCCGCGACCTTCCGCTCTCCGGGCGGACGCTCTAACCACTACACCACGGAGGCGGTCTGACTGACAGGGACTGGTTTTGGTTGTGTCTGCTGTAATACGATTAATATTTAAAGGTGTAGTAAAATGTGTGCGACTTGTGATAGTTTGAATAAAGTACCTATGGGATTTTTTGTTTTGTGCGTGATCGTGGTTGTTGCCTGATGTGTTTATCATAAAAAGACGGAGATAATCTAGGACAGGTTATGTATGTATTAAAAAAGGACAAAGAGTACTTGAAAATTCTATTTTATTCTTTTAAATACATCTTTGTTATACATCATAATGCATCAAACAATGATTGTCTTAATTCTACAAAGAGATCACCTCACTTGGACACAAATCACCTATTACTAAAAGCCGAAGCTTTATATAAACTCCAACCCTTTGGCCATAGTGGAACACCTGAAGTGCTATAGATGCCGGTTCGCAGGTGTTGTACTATTTCGATCTTCAGCTGTCTGACAATTTACAATTACTCGGTAATGTAGCAATGTCCTTGTTTCTTGGGAAAATTAATTCGTAGCTTTTGGTTTTTTGGGGGCATATCTGACTGCCGTTTTGGCATGTTCAGAACTGTGTGACCGGTCGATCTTGTAGCCATTTTGCAATTCTTTCATTGGACTCCACTTTCTCCTTATTTGCTTTTACCAAGGGAAAATCATCCAAATTGATTCCGTCCAGTTTGGAAAGAGTGTCAAAGGCGGCGAGATCTGCAAACCCAAGCTGTAAATAGATACAGACATATGTTGGTTAGCATGTGTACAGTACAAATACCAATACACAATGGAATTATGAAAGTAATGATAGCCATACATTCCTGGTTTGATATCGATCGTAATGTTGTGGAACGGAATGTTAGTTTAAGACCAAGATTAGATCATGGACATAGCACTAACCGACCATTGTCATATCATGGACATACTTCAACAGCATCAATTTAGGCTTTGGTCATATCGTGAACACACCACTGACCGACGCCGACCTGTAATACTGTGTTAGTGTGTGTTTGACTTAATGATATACATCCACTTTACCTGGTCCCCCACATAGAATCCTGTATTGTTGTTCTTTAAAATCTTCTCAAAGAAGCCGACGAATTTTGGATAAGTTTTCTCGCTGTTTTCCTTTCCTATGGCAGCCTGTGAATAAGGAACACAATGTTCCAGATTGTTACATTCTTTTTCTTCATTCACACATGTATCTGTGCATTACATATAAATTGTTTCAGTATATTGCCATGAGTGAGGAGACCTAAATTACCAGACCCGTGAAGGTCCGGGTTAGAACTGATCTTCAGTAACCCATGTTTGTCGTAAGAGGCGCCAAACGGGATCGGATAGTTAGGCTCGCTGACTGGGTTGACACATGCCATTGTATCTCATTTGCGTAGATTGATGCTCATGCTGTTGATCCCTGTCTGCTCCAGACACGATTATTTAGAGACCGCCGCCATAAAGCTGGAATATTGCTGAGTGCGGCGTAGAACTAAACTCACTCTCTCACCTAAATTACCAAACATTTAAAATGGTAATTTAATTTAAGGAAATCACAGATTGACCACCGCTTGAAGGCGCCATAGCTCCAGATCATAGTTGCATCCCTTTGCTGTTCTCGGATTTCTGATCGTGGATTCGAATCCGAAACATGTATCCTTGGTTTTCCGCTCCATGCTATGTTTAATGACAAATGTTATCACTGGGGTAACGACAAGTATGAATGATGCTTGATTGGCGCTTATTGTTTTGATAAAAGAAATGAAACTCACTTTCTTTTCTTCATCCTGCTCGTGGTACCGTTTGATGAGGGCACTGAAGATGTCGTTGATGATGCCGATCACTTGGTCGACCTCCATCTGCTCAACACTGGTCTTCCCGTGGAATCCTTTGAATAAGAGCATATTGTTTGAGGCCTCAGTTCAGAACGTCTCAGATATATGACGGCTGTCTTTAATTAATCTGGTTAATGCAAAGAGAATGGGCTTTGAAGACAAAGGGCAGACAGAATGGGCAATGAAGACCATCTTCATCTCCTCAAGGCTGGTCTCCCCGTGGAATCCTTTGAATGACGACATAGTGTTTGACGTCTCAGTTCAGAACGTCTCAGCTATATGACGGCTGTCTTCAAATTGTCTAGTTTGTGCCAGACCACAAAAATGATATCATTGTCATCAACTCACAATGGATTCCAATAATTATACATCCTAGTTGTATATAAAAAGAACCCTTTTCTTTCGCTTGTAACGCAATACTGGCTATGTGGAATTTCTAGTGTAATCCCACTGTGATTTTGCTGGTATATTGCTAAAAGCAGCGTAAATCCGAATATATTCACTCACATTCACCATCTGACGGTGGTGAGTAAATGAAAGAGTCTGGACCACACAATCCAGTGATTGACATCATGAGCATCGATCTACGGCATAGGGATTCGATTATTTGCATCAACTAAGTATTTATATTTATTTTTCGTCAGTTTGCTCTCTTGCTGGCTGACGTTAGAGATGTGAAATGTTTAACAAATACTGGTGGCATAAGATAAATGGATACTCAGCTTACCAAACTCCCTCGCTAGGAAACCTGCAATGGCCATACTCTGTGCATACTGTTTGCCATCCACCTCAAGCACAGGGATCTGTCCGAATAGAAGATCTGAAGAGAAACGAACCACGATTAACCACTAAACTTACTCGTGCGTTAGTTTGAGATTCAAATGACAGCATTATGAAGGTCATCAAAGAAGGAAATGGTTCATTTGGCAGCAAAAAACTACATCCTTGATGCTAACACACCTCTTTGTTTGTGACAGTTTCAAACGAATTATCTCGAAGGACAATATCGAATCATCACGTAATGCATGAACTCTTTCTTTGAACTGCCCAAATGATGGTTGTGATGTAAGATAGTGTTGGAGATAACAGTTGTGTTTATTTGGGGGGTTTTAAATACAGAATCAAATCTGGGATGTTCTGAGTTCATGTACAGTGAACCTCATTTAGGATTTAAATACTTTTTATCGATAAACGAAACATTGATGAATTAGAATCTGTTTGAGAATCTATTTGACGCACAATATACTAATGTCTGGAAATAAGATTTTCCGAACTTAAGATGTTTCAGATGTTGTGAAAATATTTGATTATACGAACCAGTGATAAATGTATTTGAATATATACATGTATTGACGTTCAAACCATGAATATCCCCTACGCAGAGTGTCCGGATTAAGGAGGTTTCATTGTAAAGTGTCACACGGGGATGTGTTTAGCAGATCAAGTTGTTCGCTGATATCTCCATCTTGTTCTGTTATCAGTGCACCGGCTACATGTACGTACTACTTGACACTGTTTAACCATGCAAGGTAGTGTTATCATACAAGCACTCGCCTAGAGCTGGGCCGCCTTAGAGCTGAAGAGTTACTCTCTTTAGGGCGTCAGAATCATGTGATCGTTTCTTGTCAATCCTAATTTTGCGCGCCTTGTCATATTAATATCCGTGTTGACCAAAGTGGTAAAGACCTGCATCACTTTGGGTGTTTTCCAATATCAAGTCATGTCCCGCAATCACTCACTCACTCACTCGTAGCCAAAGACCATTTCTGGTGTTCCCCGCCGTGATAGTGCTTGAGAATTGCTAAAAGCGGCGTTAAACCATACTCACTCACTCAAACCAAGAACTGTCCTACATATTATTCTAGGTTTGATGGCTACATGCAGTATTCGAACGTTTCACTACTTGCTTTCATTCAATATTTTGCGGACATGTAATTATTTTCAGAAGGTTATATAATGAGTGCTTAAATAGCGGTATTCACTTTTGAATTCCTCACGACAGGCCTTAAAACTAACTTTGATGAAAAAAACAAACAAAACAACATAGATAGGCTCAAAAACAGATAGCAATGACTGATCACGTCAAATGTACAATTATAAAAAGCAACTGTTCGTTTCGAGATTATACTTAATCGGAACTCAAGTGATTTCTGGATAATTAGACCTTTGTTATTCCATTGTTTGGAAAGCTGCCTGTGCCTTTAAACAGTTTTACTTCCCAACGCGTCTGGTGTTCCCATGCAACACTTACTTCGTTTCTCGGCCTGGAAGTTCTCCCGTGACCATCTGACGTCTTCATACTCCTGTCCGGCCAAGGCAAACAACAGACGGCACACTTCAGCCCGCCCTTTATTTTCCGTGTAGATGAGCTTGTAAGAAGGCATGTTGCTTGCTCCCTGTGCAGTGAGTACTCCCACTCTGTGTATCTTATGAAGGTGTGCGATAAGGCTTATCAGACTCGCGTGTATGAATATATTTACTAATACGTGGTCGCGCGTCGTGTAAAAAGAATATATACGCGACAATGCGACCCACCCGCCCATCCGTCAAGGCATAAATATGGATCAGGTGAAACTTATATCAGTGGTAAATCTTTCATTGTTGCTTTGAAAATTATTGTATATATTGTAAATGTATTTTGCCAATCAAGTGTGTTTTTAGCAGCAAGACAAATTATTAGCGCTACTATTCATTGTAATCACGGCACACGGTGGCTCTGTCATTCAAGGCGGGGCAATTTGCTGTGCAGAGTTGTGTCTCTTAGTCACACCAGAAAACTATGATCATAGGTTCTAATCCCAGTACCATACACACTCATCACTTTGGACATTTCACCCATATCAAGCTCACAGGTTGTGAAAAAACTCAAATATTGTTAAAATTCAGGCCACATCGGCAGAAACATCAAGTGATGTCAACGAATGGGTCACTATGTTCCACAGTGTGGCTCCTCAGAGAGATTCTTGGTACAGTCCTGTCCGACGCTGATATACTTGTTCAGCCAGCAGTGGATGGATACCAGGTAGAATGAGATGGTAATATCACTTAACCATCCAGCACCTCAAATACAGTTTTGGTCGACTTTGAACGTGATATACTTCTTGGGAAAACGCCATACAAATGGAATGTTATGATTATGATTTAAAAGCGGTCAAATCGCTTGGCAGAGTTGCGTACCCTTGGAGTGCAGAAATCAACCCTCGCTCGCTCGCTCCCTCCCTCCCTCCCTCCCCCTCCAATCCACTCCCCGCTCCACCCACTCACTCACTCCACCCCACCCACTCCGCTCATCTCCACTCCACTCTACTCTACTCCACACCACTTCGCTCAACTCAACTCAACTCAACTCAACTCAACTCAACTCAACTCAACTCAACTCAACTCAACTCAACCCGCTCCGCTCCACTCCACTCCACTCCACTCCTAAACAGTAAAAGTTTGTAAAATCCGCCGGTTGATTTGCGACAACGCGACATTTTGATGAAATGTCGCCATGTCGCAAATCGCGTCGCGTTTTAGAATAATACGTTATTATACATACTGTACATATTAACAAAGCGCGACACGCGATGTGACAACGCGACATTTCATAAAATGTCGCGTTGTCGCATTGTCGCGTGTCGCGTTTAAGTCAAATACATTATAGTACATACTATACTCAATATTTTAACAAAACGCGACACGCGACGCAAGCGACAACGCGACATTTCATCAAAATGTCGCGTTGTCGCATTGTCGCGTCTCGCATGTTTTACACATCTTATAAGGCGACGCGCGACAACGCGACATATTTTTGACCTTGAAAATTGTCGCTATGTCGCGTGTCGCCCTTTGTAGGTATGAAAAATATATTATTCAAAACGCGACACGCGACACGCGACATCGCGACAATGCGACAAATGAATTTTGCTTGTAAGAGGGCGACAATCTTATCAGACTTGCGTGTAGATTTACATGATGTAAGTGAAAATCAGTTGAAGTTGATTTGTGATTCAAAATGTAATACAGTATAATAATTTATGAATATCGAATATGTTACAATGTATTAAAACCGTTTTCTAAGTTTCAGGCTTCCAGGAATTCCAATCGGAAATCTCTACTGGAGCACATGGACAGATCTGCAACCCAGATAACACAGCACTGAGGAGCCATTCAAATCGGTTCCAGCCGTGGATGTAAACTTCGTATTCAATGTATTTCAATAAACTTGCCGCCCTGTCAGGCTGACGTGAACGTACCCAAATACAGAGTTGTGTGATTATTTGTAAATATTTTATGTTCGGTTGAGTTTACGAATTAGAACATAACCCAGATGAGTCGATGTCCTTGTCTCTGTACACATTAATGCGATACATGAAGAAGCATGTGAATGAGCACGGAAAGCCTGTTTGTCTATTGCTTTGTTTCTTTGAATTTTCGTGCAACTAACTCGTTATTTCAGATGGTCTTGTTAAGATTAACAAAAGTTCTGTGTTAATTACTTCGTTCAAAATGTTAATGATACATGTATTCAATACAATATGATAACTGTAGTTGTATGTATCAACTCATCGAGGCATATACATTGCATAACTTTCCATCTTGTGTAATTTAGTAATAGTAATAGTCCACTTATATGGCGCTCACATCCAGGCACATTGCCTGCTCGGGACGCTACGTACATTACTATCCCCGGTCATAGGACACTATCGTACTTTCCGATACTTTTTCAACTCCCTGGGGATCATACAGCCATGCTGTCTGTCAGGCGCAATGAACTAAACACTCACATTGCCAGCACATCCTCACGGGTACCCATTTTACAGCTGGGTGAACTGACAATGTGGATCTAAGTATCTTGTCCAAGGATACTACGAAAATGTGCCCACCTCGGGATCCGAACCTAGGTGCCTCCACCGGGGATCGAACCCGGGCCTTCAGCGTGATAGGCAGACACCTTACCACTGCACTACTGCAGTATACCATAGTATTATTTAACTCCGTGAAGCTCCTGACCCTTGCAGGTCAGTAAAGGCGATAAACGGGATCGAGTGGCCACGCTGACTGACTCAGTAGATGCATGTTATCGTATCCCAAATGATTCAACTCGGAGACCAAAATGTCAGTCATGAATGTGAGGCCAAGCCTAGCCTATTTCCAGACGATGGAGCTAACTAACGAGGTCAGCTGCTCACACTCTACAATAACAATGTCCATATTTACGAGACGAGGCATGTAAGTGCCGTGTCCATCTCATATTACATGGCTGTTTCATGGTTATTAAATGTTTGTGTGAATTGTGGTAGTTGTAATATAGAACTTGTTTTGATGTTGTTATGTGAGTTAATCGTGGTTGTTTGCTGATGTGTTTATCGTACAAAGAAGATGATCTGAGGCAAGATATAAATTTATTTATTTGAAACAGAAGAATATATGAATATTCGTTAAAATGGGACAAGGATCGAAACAATTGGCAGTCCTAGGGAATTCAAGTTAAATCTTTTAAACACGTAATTCTTATACAGATTCATGTATATCAATGTATCAAACACTAATTCTACAAAGAGATCGCCTCACCTGGACACAGATCACTTATTACTAAAATCTGAAGCTTTATATACTACCCATCAAAAGTTTAGACTCACTAGTGTAAATGTAGCCTCTTACTTCAGTCAACTGTCCTAAACTAGATTTGCAAAATATTCCATACTGTTTAAAGGTACTGTTTACACATGAACTGATGTATCGTAAAACAAATTCATAATGTTGAAAAGATTATTGTCATGAGTTCAATAAATGATAAAAATCCGTGAAAATTGGAGAATTCTTAAAACTTTACACCAAAACGCAGCTGTTCACATGACGATATTTGCACATGTTTTACAGCAATTTGATGCATGATCCTCATGCAATTCATCTGCATAAGGTTTGCAGTTGGTTCCCCCAATTTAGCGGAGAAATTCATCTTCGATGTAACCACGTATAGTGAGTGCTTTAAGTGAGTCTAAACTTCTGATGGGTAGTATATAAACCCCAACCCGCTGGCCATAGTGGAACACCTGAAGCGCAGGTGTTGTACTATTTCAATCTTAAGCTGTCTAACAATTTACAAACTCGGTTATGTAGCAATGTCCTTGTTCTTGGCGACCATGGTGGGCTTTTGTTTCATTTTGGGCATATCTGACTGCCATTTTGGCATGTTCACAATTCGGAGTCCGGTCGCTCTCGTAGCCATTTTGCAATTCTTTCATTGGACTCCACTTTCTCCTTATTTGCTTTTACCAAGGGAAAATCATCCAAATTGATTCCTTCCAGTTTGGAAAGGGTGTCAAAGGCGGCGAGATCTGCAAATCCAAGCTGTAAATAGATACAGACAAATGTTGGTTAGCATGTGTACAGTACAAATACCAATACACAATGGAATTATGAAATTATTGATAGCCATACCTTCCTTGTTTGATCTCGATCTTAATGTTGTGGAACGTCATGTTAGGATCAGATCTAGATAAGATCATGGACATAGCACTAACCGACCATTGTCATATCATGGGCATACTTCAACAACATCAATTTAGGCCTTGGTCATATCGTGAACACAACACTGACCGACCTTGTGATTATGCATGTTCCTGTAATACTGTAATACTGTAATAATATACATCCACTTTACCTTGTCCCCCACATAAAATCCTGTAGAGTTGTTCTTTAAAATCTTCTCAAAAAAGCCAACGACTTTTGGAAAAGTTGTCTCTTTGTTTTCCTTTGTTATGGCAGCCTGTGAATAATGAAAAAAAGGTTCCAGATTGTTACGACATTGTTTGTGTATCAAATATTCACTGATACGTATATCTATGCACTACACATAAATTGTTGTGTTGTTTTGAGAATATTGTTACGGGGAGAGCACAATTACTAAATAGTTTCAAAATAATAATCTTATTTAAGCAAAACACAGATCGACCACTGCTTGAAGGTGCTACAGTTCCAGTTTGCTGGGGCAGAGTTGCATCCCTTTGCTGTGCTAAGATCCTCCGATCGTGGGTCTGAATCCAAGATTTGATCCTTAGTATCCTTCCATGCAGTGTTTAGGTCAAAGTTATGCACTGGGCTTACATCAAATAAGTGTACTGCTTGATTGGCGCTTATTGGTTTGATAATGGCGATGGCACTCACTTTCCTTTCTTGATCCTGCTCGAGAAATTGTTTGATGAGGGCACTGAAGATGTCGTTGATGATGCCGATCACTTGGTCAACCTCCATCTGCTCAACGCTGGTCTTCCCATGGAATCCTTTGAATGACAACATAGTGTGCCTTAGTTTAGAACGTCTCAGCTAAATGACAGTTGTCTTTAAATACTCTAGTTTGAGCCACACGATGAAATGAGAGTCTCTGGATGTCGGGAACAATTACACAAAATAAGCTCAGTCAGAATGCTGATCCTAGGATGAAGTAATTGGGATTGTTGGGACACAGAATCAAAAGCTGAATCCACAATACAATTGGCGTAAAAATAATATCCTGGTCAAACTTAAAGTTTAATAAACGTGTTGTGCAATGCAGAGAAATGAACTATGTTCAGCAGACAATGAACTGTGTTAATTGTATATGCCAGTTATGTAAAAAAAAAAAAGTTTTGCTTCTCGTGTAAGGCAGTTCATAGCAATATTTTGCCTATCGGACATTTCTGGTGTCCCACTACCCGTGAAGGTCCGGGTTAGAATATTGATCTTCAGTAACCCATGCTTGTCGTAAGAGGCGACTAACGGGATCGGGTGGTCAGGCTCGATGACTTGGTTGACACATGTTATCGGTTCCCAATTGCACAGATCGATGCTCATGCTGTTGATCACTGGATTGTCTGGTCCAGACTCGATTATTTACAGACCGCCGCCATATAGCGGGAATATTGCTGAATGCGGCGTAAAACTAAACTCACACACGAACTCTGGCTGGTGTCCCACGTCGTGATATTGCTGTCGTGCTGTTAGAGCGGCGTAAAGCGTCACACACTGACTCCACCTATCTGATTGTGGTCTGTAAGTGATCCAGTCTTGATGACCAGATGTCGACAATCTGAACTAAGACCGCGACTGAAACCCAGATTAAATGAGGGTGGTTTTCTGAAGGTATAAGGGTCCTGAAGAGCAAGAGCATGCAGAATGGGCGTTGTAGACAAAGGGCATACAGATTTGTCACTGAAGACCAAAGACATGCAGAATGGGTTCTCAAGACCAAGGGCATTCAGAAGGGGCGCTAAAGACCAATTGAAAGGTCGCCATACATTTTATATATGTATTCAAACAATTTTGATGTGACAAACCTACGCTTTAATCACAGGACCACCAACACGTGGACCACCACACGTAAAGCCTATAAACGTCTTAAAATGAAGAAGAAATTATTATGAATAATTTTACGTCTCTGTGAACCTTTATGGGCTATACTGTCTCTCTGAACAACAGATGTTTGTATTTACAAACATAATTTTTATTCGAATCCCACCATTCATAAGTTTAATATGCTCATGTCAACTGGCAATCCATATATTGTAAAAAGCCTAGCTATTTATATACACAATGCAATGAAACTTAGAGATTCACTTCTGTGCCAATAATATCGTATTTCCTTTTGTACATTTTGTAAATTAACTTATTATCTTCTGAACTATATATGCACATATGTACCGATCTGAAATCCTAAAGTGTAGCCTGGGCCTATGGCCTCCACTACAAAGAAAATAAAGATTGATTGAACAGATGTTTCAAGCTGATTGTTTATACAGTTCCTTCATTTCTTCAAAGTGAAAACGTATTACAGACTTACTCTTCCCGACTTTCTGAATTACTGATTACTGATGTGATTCAATATTGTAAATACCATTTATTCATTCTCTCAGGCAATTACTCGTGAAGATCCGGATTAAAATTGGTCTTCAGGAACCCATGCTTATCATAGGAGGCGATTCAGAAACCGAAACATGAGTCTCATTAACCTATTCAGACAATAACCTACTTTTCAGCCGATCCGAATTTTCTCGTGTGAAAGTGAAAATAGACATCACAAACAATTATGTTTACACTGAATTCCATTTCCTTGTTTCATAAGAAAATCGTAATTACGTCAAATGAATTTTAATTTTAAACTTTAATAACATCGTATTTCTATATTTTATGGGGACGTGTAGGCAGCATGACCTTAACTAAGACGTAACTTTTAACAGACTGCCCCAGTTTGATGAGGTCGTAAAATGATTCACAACGCATCTGGTTGACTGGTAACACCTGTTATGTGCCTTTTGCGTTTTTTCAGTGTAGTTCTGTAACGCATCATGTGACTGATATAATATCAAGTCCGTGCCAGGTTGCCAAACTTTTCGAGCGGCAGAGCCTTGTTTTGAGATTTCCACGATTTCCAGGTTTCTGTTATGCCCTAATTTGATAAAAAAACAGGTCAGTCTGATCTTTCTTCATTTTCTAAATTGTTTCCGAAGCAAAGCAACTCGATCTTGAGAATAAATGTATTTAATCACCACTACCGGGTGATCTAAATCTTAAGATTTTATGAAATAGGTTATACAGTTCACGAAAAACATTATTTATATGTATTTTTTTCGTCCGTTTGCTCTCTTGTTGGATGAAGTTGGAGATGTGAAATGTTAAACGATACAGGTGGCATAAGGTAAATGGGTCCTCAGCTTACCGAACTCCCTCGCTAGGAAACCCGCAATGGCCATACTCTGTGCATACTGTTTGCCGTCCACCTCAAGCACCGGGATCTGTCCGAATAGAAGATCTGAAGAGAAAAGACCCTCGATTAACCATTTAACTCTCATTACATTAGGTATTCAAATGATAGCTTAATGAAAGTATGCTAGCATACCTACTTGTCTTGAGACATTAACAAGCGAATTACCTCGAATGACGAATGGCAAATATCGATTCATCGACTCTTTCTTTGAACTTACAAACATGAAAGTTATGATGTAAAAATAATAATGTAATACCAAATCAGTCAGTCTTTTCAAAGATTAAATCTGCGATATTATGAATTTGTATGTATACAGTGAACCTCATTAATTCGGACGGTACCGCTCCCAGTGACTTCGTCCGGATTGAAATATTTTGGATGACCGAACCATTGCTGAATAAAAAATTATTTGTACATATATATATATATATATTGCATATATATATATATATATATATATATATATATATTGCATATATTGATGTTCAAAACGTTATTGTCCGTTATGCAGAGAGTCCGGACTAAAGAGGTTTCCAAGTATTGTGTCACACGGGGTTGGGTTTAGCAGGTCAAGTTTTTTTCGCTGATATATTCGTCCTGTGCTTGTTGTCAGTGACCCAGCTAGATGTACGTGCAACTAGTCACAACATGCAAAAGTAGTGGTATCATATACAATGTAAGCACTCGCTTTGAGCGGGGGTACCGCCGGCCACAAAGTAAGAATGTCAGAAGAGTAATAATAATATGGCTTTTTATATTGCTAAACTCCACACCAAAGTTCGTTGTTAAACCAGATAACCCAAGCTGCCTGTGAGGCACTAGAAGGTTATAGTCACATGAATTATCCGACCGGGACCCATTTTTCTGCTGGCAGTTTGTGAACAAACTCAGTAAACTCACATTAGCCAATGATTTGAATCTTGACTGGCACTGTGGAAACTTTGAAGTTTTATGACTTACACTGAATGCTTCACTAAATGACATATGGGTGATTAACACAAGGAGACGCTTAAAACATATAAAAAGATTGTTTGCTAGTTGGCGAAAAAGGAATTTCACTTCAATTGGAAAAATCCCCGTCATTAAAACTATTTCAAATGTAGTACACATCTTTTCCGCACTTCCTAACCCACCCAAATCCATTATTAATGATTTGAACAGCATAATCTTCAAATGTCTGTGGCGTGATAAAAACGACAAAATTAAAAGAACAACCATAACTAGAAATTATCATGAAGGTGGCCTCAGAATGACAGACCTAGATTCTTTTATCAATGCATTGAAACTATCGTCATTAAAACGCTTTATAAAGAAGAATACAAGCTTTAATAACATCTTTCAATTAAGACAGTTGCTAACTCTGGGCTCAAATGATGTTGGTTGTTTACCTAATTCAGACAACCCTTTTTGGAGAGATGTACTTTTAGCCTGGGGGGTATTTTATAGAAAACACAACCTAGACTATGAAGATGTAGACCAAATCATGGTACAACCACTGTGGTTAAATCATCATTTAAAATCCTCATATATGATAAAGACTTGGTTTGATCATGGTTTACACAGTATCAGATATATTTGTGGTGAAAGTGGCTTTCTCAGCTCTGAATAAATCCAACAGATGTACATAATAAAATTAACTTTCCTGGATTATCAACGCTTTTTACACAATATCCCAGATACTTGGAAGCATCTTATTAGAGTGAGTGAGTGAGTTTAGTTTCACGCCGCACTCAGCAATATTCCAGCTATATGGCGGCGGTCTGTAAATAATCGAGTCTGGACCTAGACAATCCAGTGATCAACAGCATGAGCATCAATCTGCGCAATTGGGAACCGATGACATTTGTCAACCAATTCAGCGAGCCTGACCACCCGATCCCGTTAGTCGCCTCTTACGACAAGCATAGTCGCCTTTTGTTGCATGCATGGGTTGCTGTAGACCTATTCTACCAAGGATCATCACTGGTGGCATCTTATTAGAAATAAAACACATCATTTATGTCAGCTGAATATCAACAGTTTTAATCTCGATATGATCTCAAATGATGCAAGCTCAAGGATATTTTATGATAAATTGATTAAGAATTTAAAGGATTATATTCCCAAAGTATTAGAACATTTGAACTCTGATTTTGATATCAACTGGAAATATGCCTTTGTTTGGTATATGAAATGTGCAAATGATTGCAAGCTATTAGACTTTCAGTATAGATTCATTAACAAAGTAATATACATAAAAAAGGAGATGAAAATGAAGTTAGTTAATGATGATCTATGCTCTTTTTTTAAAATTGAATCAGAAAAATATTTTACATGTATTATATGAGTGTCAGACTGTTTTCAGCTTCTGGCAGAAAACAGAGAATTTCATTAATTCCACAATAATCTGAAATAACAACATACTCTGTAATGTTTTGCTTTAGGCTCAAACACTCACATAGTTAATCATATCTTACTCATAGCCATTAAGTCTTAAACAGCTTATCCTATCATTTTACATATTTATCTCAACAATGAAGGGCATTTGTAAAATTGAAGAATTCATAACAAGAACAATAACAGAAAAAAATGGAAACAACGGCCTGAATACCCCTTGAAGTGGTCATAAAATGATCAGTCACTGTGTTCATTTGTACCACAACCATCGATGTAACATCACTTTGCGCGTTCTACCATCAATGTAACATCACTTTGTGCGTTCTACCATCAACGTAACATCACTTTGTGCGTTTTACCGTCAATATAACATCACTTTGCGCGTTCTACCATCAATGTAACATCACTTTGTGCGTTATATCATCAATATAACATCACTTTGTGCGTTCTACCATCAACATAACATCACTTTGTGCGTTCTACCATCAATACAACATCACTTTGTACGTTCTGTCATCAATATAACATCACTTTGTGCGTTCTACCATCAATGTAACATCACTTTGTGCGTTCTACCGTCAACATAACATCACAGGAAAAAGACATATTTTACCATTTTCGAAAGTTGTTCAAATATTCTCTTATAAAAACAATCATTAGTTGACGCACTAAAACTGTGTAGTCTCGGATTATATTAGAGAAACAACATATAAATAGTAATCATAATAACGTGATAGGTGTTGTGTGTTTAAGTCATAATGCCACTTTGAACATCACGCCGTGCTGTAACAGCTCAATTCAAGAGATCCAACAATGGCGAGGGTCAAGTTGACCTCACTCAGCTTTACTAATGTTGTGTCTGTATTCGGACTTCTTGACACATTGCCACACAGAAACAGTACAACCAGAAATTATTGAGAATTTAAACATTGTAATTTTTATATATTTTTTCACTCATTACTCACGTATTAAATGTGAATATTAGCAGAACATAACTCCAGATTCAAAGACAGGTGAACAGTTAGTATTTTGTCAAGTCACTATGGGCAGCAATGCAGGCTTCAATGCGGCGGGGCATACTACTGATCAAAGACGTTAGAAAGTCGTGGTCCATGCTGTCCCAATATCGGACCACCTCTTCTTTCATTTCAGTAATATTTGTCAGATTTTTCTTATTGACACTTTCCTTCATAAGTCCCCAAACATTTTCTATTGGATTTAGGTCAGGGCTATAGCTTGGCCGATCTAATAATGTCATATTTTGGGTCCGAAACCAGGCCAGTGAATGTTTTGAACGATGTTTTAGGTCGTTGTCCTGCTGGAAAATCCAAAGATTTCCATAGAACACGTGAGCAGATGGAAGTAAATGTCCCTCGAGAATATCTGTGTACCGCTCACTGTTCATATTCCCTTCAAATACACAGAGGGGCGTTACCCCTAACACAGATATGCCACCCAACACGTTAAATTTCGGACTGTACTTTGGGCGCTGATACAAAGGTTTTTCAGTTTGTTTGGTCCAGAATTTCAGTGTCTTAGGAAACAGCAACACATAACTTTCATCTGAGAAAATCACATTGTCCCAGTTAAAATTTTTATGCTGTAAGCACCAGTTCAACCTTCGCTCCTTTTGTTCAGGTTTCATGATCGGTGATGGAATTCCTCGACTTTTCTGCCAACCATTGCATGCAGCTCAGTTCTTATTGTCTCCTTACAGACAGCCTCAGTTCCTCTATCAATCATATCCAGCATTATTTTTTCTAAAGCCGCCTCCTGTCACCGACAGTCAATGTTCTGCGCCTACCTGTGCCTCCCTGGTGCTCAATGCCATATCCATTTGCCATATTTTTCAAAACACGATAAACAGTGGACAAAGGGATGCCTGTTTACTTGAAATCACTTTAAAGCCTTGTTATAAAACTCTCCTTGTCTAAATCATCCATACTGAGGATCACAATGTCGTTCTAGCAAGTAAACAAAGGGGATAACTCTTCTACAAACTAATGAAAAGGATTGTTGCCTGAATGAAACCAAGCACTTGATAGCTGGTCAAGGTTGTCTATACAAGAAATCCAATTAAACATATTCCTAAAATTCTCAATAATTTCTGGTCATACTGTGACAGTGCACAATTTATCATTATATTCTTCATATTTGTATATTTTTCTGAATGTATGTATTTTATATATATTTGCCACAAATTTCACTTTCATTTTGAAGAGTTGTAATATTGAAACGTCACTTCATGTCATGGCTCCAGCTGATGTAACGCACTTCGCAAAGATAATTAACATAAGCCATATACCATTGAAAGTGTCAACTTAAAACTTAATCCATTGTTTATTGCACCAGTAAATGTCTTAATGACCACCGTGCAGATGTCCAGGCGAACAACTGTAGAAACAAACTGCAATAAATCTGACCTAATTGACGCCAATTACTATTGTGACACGGTCATGTGGCGCCAGCTATAAAAAAACTAATCCCGACAAGGGTTGTAAAACAAACCGTAATTAAACTGATGCAATTATCCTGTCACGGTCACGTGACTACCCTTCCAAAACTCGTTTCGGCTTGTCCAATCAGTAACTGTTTGATCTATGTCAACCAACCAAAATCGTAATTACCGTATTATATGTTTTGGCCAATCGCAAAGAATTCCAACATTG